GGGGGGGGGGGTAGCAGGGGGAAGGACTTGAGAGTATGGGTTTAGGAAAATAATGAAAGGAAATCCCAAGGTCATAGTGGTATAACAGGCCAGATCTGAGTAAAAGAAATGCTCCTCTTTCTCAAAGCCTCTTCCCCTTTTCCTCTTCTAAACCCACAGGTTCCAAAGGTACCCCAAAGCTACCCTGGTAAAGGTGAAGGAGAAGCGGGACACAGGGTACCTACTGCTTGCAGCTGAACACTGAATTTTTGAATTTTCTATCAGAAATCATGGCTGATCTAAGCCAATCATGACAGAGCTATTCCCCTTTGCCAGTGACTGACGTGAGATCCAGTTCTCACTGACAAGATGTAAGGAGACAGCTGCTGGGAGTTTTTAGGAAAATTTCCCTTCCTACAAAGGGAAGTTTTGCTACTGATCTCTTGCTTCTTATTTTGTATCCTGACACATGAAAACGCAGCACTTGGAGAGGTGGTAGCTTTGTGCTGGCCACAAGGGAAGGTATCACCAACACAGATGGAAGGGCACAAGATTCAAAGGAGCCAGGCCGTTGACCAGACAAACAACAGATGCCCTTATGGTACCTTAATGGGAGTTTTCCCTTACTTGCAAATGAAACGCACTTGGATACATAGGTATTTATACTCACAGGTTCATTCTACCCTTGTTGCTTATTGTCAGGAACAACTTAACACTTTGCTTAGGGTATTGAATTTAAAGAAAGGAAAATAATTATAAGGAATCTATGTATAGAAATAAAAGCCATCAGCAAGAGGAAGAAATAAATAATTTACAAATGTGCATATAAGAAACTGTTAACCATAACACCCTTTGGGAAGAAGGAGCTGGGGGCATGGGAAAGGAGGGGAATGAAGGAACCATTATTTTTCATTTGATATTTTTCTGTAAGGCTTGGATTTTCTTGCTCTTCTATTTTTTTTAATCTAGGCAGTGGGACAATGGGGCACTTCTCTTTCCCCCATATAATTTTCTGTATTGGAAATAGTTAAAAAGAAAAGTGTTATTTCTGACATGTCTAGAGAACTGTTCGTTTCTCGTCCCCCAGGAAGGAAATCAGAGAACCTAACATTTAGCAATCCAGCTCATTTTCTTGACATCCCCTCCAGTAATGATCATGCCTGACTAAAGGGCCCACAGATGGATTCTCTCTCAAGCCAGGAGCACATCTAGGTTAAGTGTCAACAAGAATGACAGCTCAGAGTAGCACACGCAGCATTTAGCCCATAGATCACAGACATTAGTATGATTTGTGGTCACACTTTTGCAAAAGAAATCCCAAGTGTTCCAGTATTTAGTTTAAGATTTATAAAAGAATCATGCATTCCTGAGTATTGTAACTGGTTAATACCATAACTAAACAATACTACACACGAGGAAGGCAATTAATGTATACAAAAAAATAATTTCTCACTTGGCAAATTTTAAAAATACAATACACTCTCAAATCAAAGTATACATAGCTGTTGATTTCAGCCTAGTTATTTCAGCCTAAGCCTCTTACTCAATTGCTTCATTTCACAGATGGAAAAATGGAGGTTGATGCTGGCTAATTCAAGGTCACAGAGGCAGCTCGTGGTAGAGTCAAGATCAGAGGTGTTAAGACTGAAAACAGGAAGAGTGCTGGTACAGGGGCTCTAAGGCTAGGCACAGTTTCCCCAGGACACTGGCCAGAACAACAGAATACAGCCAGGGATTACCTTAGTTCTGTGGTTCTCTGCATTCAGCCCCTCATACAGAGATTTGTTGAAAGTTATTTCACCAAGGATCTGCAGTTCATTTACATCTCTCTGTAACTATAAGATAGAGGGTAGATAAAACATATTTTAGACATGGACTTACTATTTTTGAACAGCATCTTTTCCTTTATATGTGTTCCTTCTCCTGTATTCCTTTGTCTAGTTAGTGGTCTTGGCAACCACAGTTACCCAAGCAAGTATCCTGCAATCGTTCCCCAACTGCTTTTCCTTTGCACTTTACCTCATGTCACAACACCATTCACCAGCCCCGAATCAGTTCCTGACAATTCTCCTTTTTGTTCTTTCTCTCATCTGTCTGTTTTCTCCAACCCTCATTGCTACTCCTTCAGTTCAGATCTCATCATTCTCATCTGGATCACTGTGAGGTGTTACACTCGATCCTCCTATTTCCCACTTTAGAGTGAGTGATCAGGGAAGGCCTCTCTAAGGTAATGCCTGAGCTAATTATAAGAAACCATGCACATAAAGATACAGGGGAAAAGCACTGTCATGCAGAAGGGACAGCAAGTACAAAGATCATGTGGCCAGAACAATATTGGAGAAAGGACAATATCTGGAGTATAAGAAGTGGGGAGTGGCAAGGGGAGTGGCCCTGGGTGGCTCAGTTAAGCCTGTGACTTCAGCTCAAGTCATGATTTCACAGTTTTGTTGAGTTTGAGCCCTGCTTTGGGCTCTCTCCTGTAAGCACAGAGCCCACTCCAGATCGTCTGTCCCCCTCTCTCTTTACCCTTCCCATGCTCGCTCTCTCTCTCAAAAATAAATATTTAAAAAAGGTGGCTGGGTGGCTCAGTTGGTTGGGCATCCAACCATTTCAGCTTGGGTCATGTTCTCGGAATTTGTGAATTCAGGCCCCGCATCAGGCTCTATGCTGACTGACAGTGTGGAGCCAGCTTTGGATTATCTCTCCCTCGCTCTTTGCCCTTCCTCCTCCCTCTCTCTCTCTCTCAAAATAAATGAATAAACTTTTTTTTAAAAAAGTGGGAAAGAGGAGAGTACTAGGAGATAAAGTTGAAGTAGCAAAGAGTAGATCATGCAGTACCTTGCAGGTCACTGAAAAAGTATGTGTTTTAGTCTAGAAGTATTCATTTTTTAATTAATTTGTTAAAAAATATTTTGGAGAGAGCACACGCACAAGTTGGGGAGAGGGGCAGAGGGAAGGAAAGAATCTTAAGCAGGCTCTACGCTCTGCGCAGAGCCCAACATGGGGCTCAATCCCACGACCCTGGGATCATGACCTGAGCTGAAATCAAGAGTCAGACCTTCAACTGACTGAGTCATTCAGGCGGCCCTAGTCTAGGTGTATTCAAATGTCACTTTTTTTTTTTTTTTGGAGAGGCACAATGTTTACTTTTAAAATAGCTGTTATGTGAAGAAAGATTTGTAGAGGCCATGGCAAGAGCGCAGACAAGAGGAAAAGGCAGGTTACTGTAATAGCTGGAGCAAAAGATGGTGGCCAGAACTACAACAGTAGCAGTGGAGATGGAAAGAAGTGAATGGATTTAGAATACATTTTGGAGGTGGAATGATAGAGCTTGCTGCTGTAATAGATATGGGGATGTAGGAAAGGAAGGAGAGAGTCACAAGTATTTCCTAAAATAAATAACTAGAGTAAGTTACCCTACTAAGTTACCCCAAGTAATTGAGTAAAGAACAGATTGAGGCAAAAAGTAGATCGAGACACCTGTTTTGGACATGTTACATTTGAGATGCCATTAATTTTTCTCCGAAAGATAGGAGATGCACGCGAGGAACGAGTCACATCTGGAGCATTTCACCATCTCAAGTACCTGCTGAAATTGACTCAAGTAGAGCTCTGCAGCCACCGTTACGTTTTCCTTATTTGAAGTGATGACACAGCTCACTGAATGCCATTTTTTCCCATGCTGAAAAGGAAACTCTGGTTATAATTAGCACAATCCCTTTTTGAGTGCAAAAGATGAAAGCTTTAACACTTAGCACACAGGGCACCTTAAGATACCAGAATAGAGGGTGTATACAGTTTCAGCCCTCACCTTGGCTCAAGCAAAGCCACAGATATGGCTAACGTTACCCAGAGAAGAGGCTAAGGAGCGCCTTGAGGCCGCCCTGCATGTTTTCAGGAATAAACGTCGGGGAAAGGAGCATCGGACCTCTCTCGTCACCCGCTTCAAGCACTTCTTCCCTCCCTCGGCCTCTCGGGAAGGCCGCGCTCACCTGAACAGGATCGCTTCCGCACCTTTCCACCTGAGTCTGGCTGCACAGAGTGTGGTCCTGAAACGAGAGCCATTCCACAGCGGATATGAGGACGCCAAACTATCAGTTACCCGCCCTCTCCCAGCCCCGGCGAGACCCATCGTGATGCGCATGCGCATGGCCGGACGCTAGGACCCAGCAGTCTAGCTGGCGAGCGCTTCTGCCTTCAGGAAGTCTCGCGGTGTTTGCATTTGAACCTCTGGGCGGGTGCCGACGATGGCGGCGTCGCTCCCGCGACCTGGGAATCGGCTCTTCCGAACGTATGGGGCTGCGGGCGGCGGGGGGCCGCGGCGGCGACCCGGCAGGGCAGCGGCGCAGTGGTTCCCGCCGAAAGACCGGAAGCGTTTATTCAGCAGCAGCAGTAGCAGCGACGCCAGCAGCGGCGGCCCCTCGCGCTCTATCGCTTCCGACGATCCCGACGACCCAGACTTCCTCGGCTTTCCGGTGGGCCGACGGCGGAGGGGCCCTGGCGGTCGAGTCTCCGAGGACCGGCCGAGTCTGATCGCGACCCCAAGACGCTTGAGGCTGCGAGCTCGGCCTCCGCAGAACTGCAGCACCCCCTGCGGGCCGCTCGAACCGCCGCCCTTCTCTAACGGCAACCCGTGCCTACTGAGCCCGGACCTCAGTGCGTGCAGCCGGCCCGGGGACGGCGGCGAGCTGGGCACCAGTGCCTCCCTGTTCAGCAGTCTGGCCTCTCCTGGCCCCGGCCTCCCAGCGCCAGGAGACAGTGCCCTCGGGACCGGCCCCGCCGCCTCTTTGGATGCAGCCTCTGAAGTTCCGAGTGGCTTGCACCTCCCAGCAGCCTCCCTGGACCCAGCATCCCTCCACCGCCTCCAGGAGGCAGCAACAGGAGGAGGCAGGTTCACTAGGTTGGCCCACCAAGCCCATGCCAACCTCAGGTCAGCTCTCTTTAGTGTCACGGACTCTGGAAACCCTGAGGATTCTGAGAGTGGGGCAGTTGGGAGGAATATGAGGGAGTCTTGCTGTGAAATGGAACAGACGGGGAAGGGGCTGGAGAGGCCAGGTTTTTCAAGCATGGGTAAGAAGAGGGCCACAGACCAGGGCTGTTGTCAACAGATTGGGTCTCAAGGGGCTGCCCAGATAGACTCCGAGGAGGCAGATGGTTGCAAGGGCTGTATTGTACCTGGGGAAATCAACAGGCCTGAGAGAACTGGGCCTAGTCGAAAAAGGAAACTGCAGGAAACAGTAGAAACCTCCCTTCTCCATTACCACCAGTTTAAGAGGGACCAAAAGAGGGAAAAAGACTCATCCCTCACCCAGGACCTGACTCATTTACAGAATGCCTCTTGGACCAAAGCCAGGGCTTCCTTCAGTTTCCACAAGAAGAAGATGGTGACTGCTGTGTCGGAAGTATGCAGTAGCTACACCGTTGCCAGTTCTCTCTCTGAGTCCCTCATCTCTGAATATCCAAACCCTCCTGTTACGAACAGAACAAATAGTGCCGTGTCTCCTTGGAACTGCTCTTCCATGTATTTGCTAACCCCGTTTAAGACACTACATGTCACAGACAAAAAGGTATCAGATGCTGAAAAGGTTTACGGGGAATGCAATCAGGAGGGCCCTATCCCCTTTAGCAATTGCCTTTCCACAGAAAAATTGGAATGCTGTCAGAAGATTGGAGAAGGGGTGTTTGGTGAAGTGTTTCAAACAATTGTTAATCACACACCTGTTGCCCTAAAAATCATTGCTATTGAAGGACCAGATTTGGTCAACGGAGCCCATCAGAAAACTTTTGAGGAAATTCTGCCGGAGATCATCATCTCCAAAGAGTTGAGCCTTTTGTCTGATGAGATACACAACCGTACAGAAGGCTTTATTGGTTTGAATTCGGTGCACTGTGTTCAAGGATCTTACCCTCCCTTGCTCCTCAGAGCCTGGGACCATTATAACTCAACTAAAGGGTCTGCAAATGACCGGCCTGACTTTTTTGAGGAAGACCAGCTCTTCATTGTGCTGGAATTTGAGTTTGGAGGGATTGACTTAGAGCAAATGAGAACGAAGTTGTCCTCCATGGCTACTGCAAAGAGCATTCTACACCAGATCACAGCATCTCTCGCAGTGGCCGAGGCATCCCTGCACTTTGAGCACCGAGACTTACACTGGGGGAATGTGCTCTTAAAGAAAACCAGCCTCAAAGAGCTCCAGTACACCCTCAACGGGAACACGAGCACTATCCCCACCCGTGGACTACAAGTCAATATCATTGACTACACCCTGTCACGGTTGGAACGGGATGGGATCGTGGTGTTCTGTGACATTTCCATGGATGAGGACCTATTTACAGGTGAAGGTGACTACCAGTTTGAGATCTACAGGCTAATGAGGAAGGAGAACAACAACTGCTGGGGTGAATATCACCCTTATAATAATGTGCTCTGGCTCCATTACCTCACAGATAAGATTCTGAAACAGATGACCTTCAAGATTAAATGTAACACCCCCGCCATGAAGCAAATGAAGAGAAAGATCCAGCATTTCTATAGGACAATGCTGAATTTCAGGTCTGCCACTGACCTGCTCTGCCAACACAGTCTGTTTAAGTAAGTCAGACATGCCTTACAGGCCCAAACTGAGAGGGTACTGGTCTTAAAGCCCTTGATGCTGTTTTCAGCCTTCATCCCCAGAGCAGGGTGGATTTCCCATTCTAAATGTTTCTAATCAACTTTTCAAACAAGAATTTTGTTTCCTAGTAGAAACTAAAATGTTTCTGAAGTTAACAAATGTTCTTTAAAAATAAACTATACATGGGAACAAGTGATTACAATTTAGAAGTCCTCTTTCTGTCAGCAGAGTCCATTCTATAAATGCCTTTCCATATATTCATTTCTGAGCCTTGACATTTCATGTACCTTGAGCTAAATAAATAAATAAGTAAATAAGGAAAGCCAAAGACCTCAACTTTCATACTGATGAGAGCCTGTGGCTGTAGGTACCATAAGGGAACCATACTACAGATGAAGAGTCAACTGAGAGTAAAGAGGCTGTAGCAAAGCAGAAATAGACTGGAGGGAGGAAAGGAAGATGGTAAATTTATAGGGAGAAGTGCAAGAAATATCTCATGTTTATCAAGCTCATTTGCCAGTCACAAAGACAAGCAGAATTTATCAGTTTCAGAGGGAAAGTAAGTATCCCCATGGGTATTAAAAAGGTTTGAATTTTTGCTTATTTTTCACCAAGGGGAGGAAAACAGAAGTGTTGCTTTAAGAGCTGAACGGTTGATATTTCTTGTGAACATGACTTTGGCAATGTGTTCCCAGGTTAACTAAACATGTTTTTACTCCTTTTCTAGAACTCTGGTTTCATACCTTTGAGAATCCATAGTCACTTTGAAAAGAGGTGTGATCATGATAAAGAAATGCCTCTAAGTACCTGAATTTTTGTCACGTTTTTCACTCTTATAATCTGGAGATCTTGTAATTTGATTGGAACACAAATTTGCAGCTGGAATTCGGCTCCAAAGAGATTTTCCCCATGTATCTGCAAAATAAAATCAGAGCATGGGAAATCAAACTGGTGTTTTGCCACCTGTAACTTTGCAATTATAGGCACTAAGCACTTACATTGAAGAAGAATTCTTTGTAGACGGAAAGCCCCTGGCTTGTGTTCATGTATATCACTGACGGTCTGCAATTGAGACAATATTAGTTAGGCCTCAAGGCCCCCTTCTTTCAAAGGAACCTGAATACTACCAACTGTATACACTAAGAAAGAGGGTACCAGATCCTTAAGATGAATCAAAGCTGAATATCAAAATGTAGAGTGGCGGTAGGGCAGCTGGGATCAGGTAGGATATTTGAATTCTGTATATTAGGGCTGGTTCTGTGTGTGTCTAATTATCATTCCTCAGAGTGGCCTTACTTTTCTCTTTCCTTATTTCTCAATGCCACAGCTCCTCTCTTCCCTCCTTAGCATTATGTCAGTAACTTTTTTTTTTTTTTTTTAACATTTATTTATTTTTGAGACAGAGAGAGACAGAGCATGAACGGGGGAGGGTCAGAGAGAGGGAGACACAGAATCTGAAACAGGCTCCAGGCTCTGAGCTGTCAGCACAGAGCCCGATGCGGGGCTAGAACCCACGGACCGTGAGATCATGACCTGAGCCGAAGTCGGCCGCCCAACTGACTGAGCCACGCAGGCGCCCCACGTCAGTAACTTTTTGTAGCAAGACCAGCAGGCACTGCTCCCCCTTTGGTTACTACCATGGTGTTTCTAGGACCCAACTGTTAGTGCCCCAGAGATCAGTGGGAGCCTGGGCTTTAAGCAGCCTCCTATCAGTGAAGGACAAGGCCCACATCCACCCCGACCACCAGTTGCCACAAGAGAGAATTCCTGCAGGTGTTGGCCCCTCGGAAGTACTTACTTGGGAAGAACTGCAATGAAGGCATGCTTGAACTGGAGGCTGTGGGTCTTTGTGACCAAAGACTGTTTTCCATTGAAACTAGGAAATAAGAGTGTCAGTTGACAGCACACCTGCTTTGTACACAGCTACTTACATACCTTGGCTTCTCCGGGTCAGTGAGGGTCAGGTAAGAAAAGACTCTTGAAGATAAGTAATTAGAGTGCAGAAGACCATACTTGGAGAAACACTGATTTTAAAAGAGTTTCTCAACCTTGACAATATTGACATTTTGGGCCAGATAATTTTTTGTGAGAAGCTATCTTCCTGTATGATGTTTAAGCAGCATCCCTGGCCTCTCCCCACTAGATAGCAGTAGCACCCTCCACCCCCTGCTCCAGGCTGTGGCAACCAAAAATGTTTTCAGGCACTGCCCCTGAGGGGCAGAACCATCCCCATTTGTGAACCCTTCCCTAACACTACCCTACACCCCCAAACATAGAAGTTTTGCAGATGACAGAACTTCTCCAAAGTTAAATGAACCAGAATTAGAACTTGCGTCCAAGTCTCATTTACCAGACTGTACCATAGTTTTGCTTTGTGTGTCACTAAAAGAAGGTTTTCAATATTTCTGATAGCAAGAAGGGAAAGCCAGGTCACTGCAGCAGCATAGGTTCTTTTTGTGGGTTCACTGAGGCTCTTCCTGAGCAGTGAGGGAGCCATAACTCTTACACGCACGGGATGGAGACTTCTTCCAGGGCCACAGCCTGGACCTGCTCTGACAGACAGTACTTACTTGGTGGCTGTCACAGTGATACTGGCTGTCCTGTTTGGAAAGGCATTCTCTTCTAGCTGCCAAACTACTGAAAAGATTGCCTATTTAAAAAAAAAAAAAAAAAAAAAAAAAAAGTCACAAGGTTCCTCTCTATACTACCCACAATTCAGATTGCTTCCTACTAACTAAACAGACCTGGGAAGCAGTTCATATTCCTCACATTTTTGTAGCACAGGATGCTTCCACATGTATTGTTCCATGTAAGCCTCACAATGTCAATATGGAATAAGCTGGGCGGACAGCATTATTCCCTTTGTACAGGTGAGGAAACCACTTCAGAGCTTGCCCACGGCACAAAGATCATCAGTGGCAGATCAGGGACTGCCTTCACAATAGTAACCCTGGGTCTGCCGCTCCCCCCATACTATTCCCAACTTCACTCTGCTGTAATGGGGGTGAACGAGCAGTTTGCGGCTATATCTCCCACCCCACCACTCCCTACTTTGAGAGCAAACTTGGCAGCTCTAAGCTCTGCTGAAGGGGTTGATTACAGTACAGTGTGGAGACCACAACTAAGAGATTCAGATGAGACTGGGAACGTGAGAGACACCAAGTCCAAGTTAGAAGAGTCAGCTGACCAAAACAGACTCACAGATGACCTCCTGAGTATAGGGTGACCAATCTTGCAGTTCATGACCAGCACAGAAGCAGTTGGCTTAGCGTCATCACACCAAATGTCTGGAGAAGGAGGCTGTTAACACAGAAAAGACCCTGTTCTTAAAGAGCAAAAAAGGAAGCATTTGCCTCATACCAATTCAAATATTCACTGATTTTCTACATGCCAGAGCTCAGGCTTTATCTGCCAGGAGTCAGGGCACAAATCAGATTTGGTCTCTGTCTTCCTCACAAGCTGGGCAAAAGGGATCAGTAGTAGGTAGTTGAGGAATTTAAATACAAGGCCCAGGGAGTGGTTCTGTAAAGCTGTGAAGGGAGTCCCTGATCTGCCACTGAAAAACAGTATCGAAAGAGGTGAAATCCAACAAGGAGGAAGGAATCTGTGAAGTCTTCATTGGTAGCGAGGCATTTGAACTGGGCCTTGGACCAATGCAAACTTAATATCCTGAGATGGGCTGGAAGGCTAGCATGAGCCAAGCACTGCCACGGAGCCTTTCTCAACCATGGATCTTCATCTAGACCACTGAATACAGAAGGTGATTTCATGGACAATTTTCTTAATTCTCCCAAGGATAGTGCAACACCACTTCCACTCAAGAAGCTTATGAGGTAATTTCATTATTTTCAGGTAATCGATGCTATCCTAGCTCAAATAGCCTAAGACCCCAGGGACAAACCTGTAGTTTGACAAAGGCAGGTTTAATGATTGCTTACAATGAGGAAAACTGCACCAGGGTATGTCTGTCTCACCAAACAAAAGCAAAGACAGTTAAAGGATTCCGGGGAAGGGTACAGTTCAGGTGAAATATCAGGGGCGCCTGGGTGGCGCAGTCGGTTAAGCGTCCGACTTCAGCCAGGTCACGATCTCGCGGTCCGTGAGTTCGAGCCCCGCGTCGGGCTCTGGGCGGATGGCTCGGAGCCTGGAGCCTGTTTCCGATTCTGTGTCTCCCTCTCTCTCTGCCCCTCCCCCGTTCATGCTCTGTCTCTCTCTGTCCCAAAAATAAATAAAAACGTTGAAAAAAAAATTTTAATATAAGTAAAGCAGAGTTTTGACAGGCTCTACTAAGTAAAGCAGGGCCAGACCCAGGGACCCCTTCCTTGGAAACTATTAGGGTGGATTTGTAAAGTTGTGTCCAGAATGCTTTGTCTGAAGCGCTGTACCTCAGATGAAAGCTTCTCTTCAAAGTGACATATTATCCAGTCAAGAGTGAGATGGTTTCATAATTACAGATAGAACTTCAAGCAGCAAAGTCTCTGATTGCCTATGATTTTAGAGAACACTTTTCAGCGTTACTTCACAGCTGCAGGATGTCCTTGGGAGAATTATTGTTTCCTAGTATCTTGCAGCTGGCTTTGAGTCTGTGATCCCAGGTTGATGAATGGCAGGGCAGACTTTTACTTTCCCGGTCCCGGCTAACTTAGAGAATATTTTCCTCTCAGAACCCTAGTTAAGAAAGGCTGCAGGCAAGGAGTGACTGCAGAACGGCATCACTGGTGGCTCTTTAGGCAGAGAATAGCACGACTGAACCCATAGCACAGCATGCAGTTGGACTGGAGGGGATCCATCTAGTTTATTGGATGGACCTGGATGAGACTGGAGGCAGGGAGACCAGTTCAGAGGTTGCCATAAAAAAGCAGGTGTACAGGAAGGGACAGCCATGAGTGTATGTTTCCAAAACTGCCATCGTAGTTACCTTCTGTATCCTCTTAAACTGTAAGTTTCTGGGGTAATTCAAAGCCATGCTCGTCATGTAGGAA